GCATTCCTTCTGTTACTCCGGGCGCCGCCCGCCACGCGTGATAGCGGGGCAGCATGGAGATATATTTATGAAGTGGACGGAAAGAAGAAGAAAGAGAAGAGCGGGGAGAAGGGACGCGGACGGCACGGGGACACGTACGTCTCGTGTTTCAATTACCTCGAAAGGAATGTGTGTGTGTGTGTGCGTGCGCGCGTGTGTGTGTGTGTGTGTGTGCGTGTGCGCGCGCACGCAGATGATGGATGGCCATTGATATTGGAGGGGGGTGGGGGTTGCTATCGGCCGAAGGGGTTGTGGTCCCCGCGCCGGCCGGGCGTCACTGTCGCGCGGGTCGCTGGACTATACTTTACGGGCAATCTGCGTGTGGCAGTGACGGGGAGGGGGCAAGCCGCGGCCACTCTAAATTAACTTAGTAAAGGGGAGCTGCTGCGGCGGATTTGACCCGGCCCCCGCGCCCGCCCCCACCTCAACCAGGCTCAATCTGAATGTCACTTTGTCTCCATCACCCCCATCCCCACCCGGTCCGTCTGCGCCATCCAGCAGACTCCGCCACTCCACTCCCTCCCCTGCCCCCGCGCCAGCAGCAGCGCCCAAGTGACTGGTCCTGTTGCTCGCTGCGCATTGAAATCGGATTGGAGTTCTCATAAAAACAGCTGGACAGCTGCATTAATCTTCCCACAGTACGCCGCGCGGCCCGACGGCTCGGGATAAAGAGAGGTATGGGGGCGGAGCGAGTCAGGTAATGGGGCAGAGGACGGCCGGGGTGGGGGGCGAAAACAGGGAAAATGAATGGGGATAACGGAGGGTGGAGAGGGAGGTGGTGGGGAAGGAAATTGACCAGCCGGCAAAAGGCAGCAAAGACCCCCCTCCCCCCCTTCCTTCCTCCAAGTTCCCCCTTCTGGCGCGGCAGTGCCCCTGCCCCGTCATGGCCCTCCAGCCCGTGGCTGACGTGACGTGGTCCCTTGAGGAGCTGCAAATAAATGCCAACGTCAGCGTGGTCGGTCCTGGTCGGCTTGGCGGTCGCCAGCGCGGCGGTGGTGCCACTATCGTGGTGTTGCTGTGGCGGCGGCGGCTGGGGAGGACCTCCGTCCTCCTCAGGGCTCGCGAATCTTGAAGGATGAGCGCACCAAAGTATTAATTTTGCGTCCACTCTTGTCACTCTACCTTGACTCTGAGAGGCGGTGAAAGGGCTGCTCCTGGCGGGCTCATCAGCTCGGGGCTCGGGCGCTCGGGCTGGTGAGGCGGAGCGCCTGGAGGATATGCAGCCCCGCCGCGCTGGCGCGCGCTGCCGCTCTTGGGCTGCCTACCTCCACGGCGTTCCGCCTGGTCTCCGCCGAGCAGCGTTCCATGGAGATGAGGATGGCCGCCCGGCGCTGCTGCCTGCTGCTGCTGCCGCTGCTGGCTCGCTCTTCACCTGCGGACCGCTTTCTTATTTCAGGCCAGGCCGGTCCTTCATTAGAGCGGGTGTAGCGCGACGGGGGTGGGGTGGGGTGAGGTGGAGCTCACCCCAATCGCGAGGAGGAGAATACAACCGCACCGCCGCCATAATCCCCACTCCAGCCCGCCGTGCAGATCTCATCGACAAAGGGGAAAAGGGATTGCTGCGCGCGGGTCGAGCCCTCCGTGCCCCCCTAACCACCCCCTTCTCCCGACGACGCTGAGAAGCCGCCCACTCAAAGGGCGTTTCTCTTTGCGCCGTCATAGCTCTCCATAAGCTTCCTGGCGCGATTACGGTGTTGCCTGTCTCCTTGTGCTTCCCGACCGAACGCCGTCAAAATTGGTGTGCCAAGTGAGAGCCGCCCGCCTATCGAGCCTGTCGGCCGGAGTACGGGCCCTGGGCCGCTGGGAGGCCCGGGCTGGGAGGCTGGGCCACGGCTACCGGGCCTACCAGCGGGCCAGGGTGACTCAGGGCGACGCACGGCGACGCAAAGAGGACCAAAGTGTATTGAATCGGCGTAAAATGTCGACACCGAATTGACGTCGACAGAGGGAGAAAAAAATCCGATTGGGGAGGGTTGAGCACGGGGAGCAGCCGAGCAGTCCAGAGGGCCTGCTGCTGTTGGTGGAGGGGTCCGGGATGGGGCGGGGATGGGGGGAGAAGGGCGGGCCCAGTCATGTTGCCATGCTCCCCACGGCCTGGCCTGGCCTTCCCCCGCCCCGCCCCACCACGCCCTCGCTATCTCCCTGCAGCAGCTCTTTATCTTGAGTACCTTTCAGCCTTCTTCGCTGGAGGCAACTTTTTATCGAGCGCCGCAGACCAATGATATAAATTAGGGTGCAATGAAGGGGTGCAAGAAGGAGGAGGGCGGGTAAGGATGAGGTGGAGGAAGGTCAGCGGGGGGCGCGACTGCAGTCCTGCCGCACTGTACGTCCAGCATGGTCCAGCATGGTCCAGCGCCCCAGCGTCCAGCAAGATGAGATGAGATGGGGGTCGATCCATCGCAGCCCCGGGGATAAATAATGGCGGAGCACTTGGATTCATCCTGCGTACGAGCAGCGCGGCGGCGGCGGGGAGAGGAGGGAGGGGGGTTCCCCATGTGCAGATGATATCAACTTTTACCCTCACCCTCCGCAGACCCTCCCTCCAGCAGCAGCAGGGAAAGCATTGGCAAAGCCCATAAGCAAAAATGAGTTGTGCTCCAGACTCGATCCACTTGACTGTTTACACACGCGCGCCACTTGTAAGGGGTGAAGTAGTAGTGACTCGGTGAAGCTGCTGCTGGCTGGTGCTTCTATACCTTACTCGCCCACCCACACCCCCTTCCGCTCCCGCACCACCTCCCTTAACTCGTAGCGGCCGCTGAATGTTGATAGCGTTGTAAGTTCCGGCGACAAGGGAAGGGACTGGCTCTGAGGAGGAAGTCAACATCGGCGGGGGCCGCGAGGCGAGCCAAAGGGAAGCGAGGGGAACTCGGTCGGAAAATCAATCAGTCGAGGGGTAGTCAGTCGAAAGCCTTTGGCAGTCTTCCACGGCGACAGAACTTCTTTTTTTTCTTCCCCTCTCAGCCCCCTAGACGACGCGAGGCGCGTCTCCCCTCCCCGCCTTGTCTCCTGTGTGTGATGGTTATGCGCGGAATTTACTGCGAGTCGGATGGACTGCCGGCTGCCGGGCGGCCTGATTCAATGTTGCGACCGGACTGGGCGGACTGGGTCAGGCCAGACAGACTAGATGAGCGGCGCGCCGGACACTCAAAAAACGATGTTCTTGAATCAACTATACTTGGAAAAAGTCAATTTCACAGACCTGTGTTAGGAATATGACTTGTTCTGAAGGGTATTTACTTGATTCAAGAACCTCGCATTTTAGGTGCACCGCGGCTCGTCCTCGTACGTCCTTAGCCTCTGGGCTCTCTGGGCGTGTCCTCCTGTACATGTTGCAGCAGACAAGTCCCTCTCTATTCTCCATCTTTTCATCGTATATGCGCAAGGTCCTCCGTACATACGTATCCTGTCGTGTGTCCTTGCGACGTAAGAATAAAAAAATTGCCGGTAAACTTAATAAAAATGAAGCCTTTGATGTGTGTGTTTTTTTTTTTCGTCCTTTTCCCTTCTTCAGTGGCGGTGGTCGTGGCCTTCTTCATCTGCTGGGCGCCCTTCCACGCGCAGCGGCTGCTCGCCGTGTACGCGTCCGAGGCCAACCAGCGACACGACGCGGTGCGCGCGCTCTACACCGCGCTCACCTACATGTCCGGCGTGCTGTACTACCTCTCCACCACCGTCAACCCCTTCCTGTACCACATCATGTCCAACAAGTTCCGGGAGGCCTTCAAGGTATAGACGCTGCACATAATTTTCAAAAGAGCAGCGCGCTCGTACCACTTTTAGAGTACAATCCAATAACAACGATAATGTTCCTGTTTCCAGAACACGCTCCGGACCGAGTGCGGCTGGTGGACGAGACGGCGCGACGCCAAGCGCCGCCAGTCGTACGCCAACCTGTCGGGGCGGGCGCGGCCGTGCTGCGGCCTCCACTGCGGCTCGTCCAGCCTGCTGCCGCCGCACCAGGCGCCCCACGCCAACGACCGCAGCCGCAGCACCCTCACCCTCACCACCACCTTCGACGAGCGCTCCAACACCTACTCGTGAGTGCGCCGCCGGCTGTTCTCCGGCGGCGGGTGCTCAGCTATACTTCGCGTGCGACAGGCTAATCTTGTTTCTCTTGCGCCCTGGCAGGACCGTGGAGGAGAGGGCGATCGTGTCGTGCCTGCGGAGCAGCCACCGAGACATGCGGGGCGCGTCCGCCGACCGATGCACGGCGAACAGCGTGGACGACTCCGGCGGCAGCGTGACCTCGGCGCTCGGGGGCGGCCGCCGCTCCAGGACGCCGTCGTGCTGTCGTGGGGGCGGAGGCAGCGCGTCCTGCAGGCCAGTGTCCGAGCACGGCGCGGACGCCTCGCAGCAACGCGTCAACGGCAACGGTATGACCCTTGCCGTCGTATGGTAGCCCTCTGCGGGCTGTGCTCCTCGTCCTCACGGTGGCTGTTCTGTTGCAGGCGTGTCCTCGCCGCGGCCGCGGCCCGGCCAGCCGCTGATGGTGATGCCCGTGCCGCCCCTCGCGGGCCCCGGCCGGGGCCTCCCCGCCTCCCCGCCGCCCTCCCCCACCACGCCGCGGCCGCCCTCGCGGTCGCCGATTGAGGCGCTGGCGCGGAAGCTGCGCGCCATCCCCGCGCGCTCCGTCCGCTCCGTGCGCTGGCACACGGGGAGCACGGGCGGCGGCGGCCCCGGGGGCGGCGGCGTGGAGGGCGGCGCCGGCGGCCTGCGCTCCGACCACAGCGCCATCTCCAACTCGAGCCTGCAGGAGTGGGACCGCGCGGAGCAGAGCGGCGCCGAGCTGGCCGAGCTGGTCAAGTACATGGGCGAGCTGAACCAGCGCCACGCCGCCAAGCTGTGAGAGGGCAAAAACAAAAGACTCACCAGCTTCGCGCGCTGTCGGGCGCCGGTCGCAGTCAGACATTGTGCCACGTTACAAAAGAAAGAGAAGGAAGAAGAGGAAAGCAACGTCCTAGTCATTAATTTTATGTGTTAAGTAATTAAGAAATCGAGCGCTTGTGCGTTTTGATATGGTGATATTAATCGGGGTCGTTTTTCTTGGAGAGAAACTGCCTCGTGAAGAGTTTTCTGTAACAAATTGAAATTGCTTTGAGATGCCCTTACATTTTATCCAACCCAATAAAAGAATACAACAGTAGTTTCCCTATTTCATCCCCCCCCCCGAAAAAACAAACAAAAAACATCTGCGTTTCCAATGTTGCCACTGCCAACCCGCTTGATGACGTGCAAAAAAATGACTTCTCGTACTGAAAACCAATTTGTCTACGTGGCGCCCGAGGCGAGGGGGTTGGTCTTACTCTCACCACCCTGTCCGTCGTCCGTCCGTTGTGTGGATGGCTGGCTCTGGCTGACTAACTCTGAAACCATACACTAACACACACACACACACACACACAGAGTAAAATGAAATTATTAAAACTGAATCAACATTAATGGACGGCTATTAAAGTGGTATTCGAATCAATACTATTTAAAATTTATTTGGTGAAATTATTGTCGAAGATGAAGACATAGAGACAGGGCATACTAAGCAAGCCGTTCCGTTGAACGACAGAGTTGCGTCACATTCGAAAGGCGCGCTGCCTGACCTGCCTGAGATGAGTTGCGTTGCCACGACGACAGTGGCGCCATCTCTTGCCCGATACTACGACCACGCTGTTAAACAAAACAGTGCATGCTGGGAAGGTAACATGGCGTCTGCTTGTGGCAGATCGTAGAGATTTTCTTTCTGCTCACAATCGTCGGTCCTGCATAATGTAACTAAAATTTGCCGACACAGAAGAAGATATTCATGAAATTTGCAGCTGTCGCTTGCGCCATTAACTCACGTATGTATCATGTAAAGTGTAAAGGTACGTGGGAACTATTGTCGTGCAGTGCCTTGTCTGAGGTGCTCCAGTTGGAAAAAGTATGCAAACACTTTCCCTTTTTCTGACGGTTTGTTGACGGCTCCTCTTTTCGATAATGTTCTAAATCAAAGTGCTATTGTTATTTTTCGCCCTTTATCGGAGGCTGTCAAACAATGTTCTTATTCTTATATTGACCTAATTCGAAAGAATGGCTGAACAGCTTCTGCTTCTGTTACACCTTTTGCTCGGCGTCAGCTCAATGAAGCCCTGCCCATTAAAAATGAAGATCTAATAGAACCTATACATTTTCAAAGTATTTTGTTAATGTACACTTCTTTTAAAATCCTTTGGCATCACTGTCCACTCTGCCAGGCGTACTTAATATCTTTCAATCCACTTGCCTCAAAAGAAGTCTTCAGTTTCTTTGTTTCAATATTTTTGCCTAGTTTTGACATGATTTGTCTTTACAAAATTATAAATGGCAATTAAAAGCTGGCCTCACAATGAGAAGCTTTCCTCTGCTCTTATCAACTTTCCAGATGATTCCTTTGAGTTTACAACCTTATTTAGTCGACAACAATGACACAACAGTGGGCCTTTGATTAAAATGTGTTAGTCATTGTAAGAAGTAAGAATTAGCTCAACTTGTTGTAGGAATTGATTTTCCAAGCTTTTCCAGCTTTCAAGAATTGATGATAATGATAATCATTTATTTTTATACATCCTTAATGTTTATTCATTTTCATTAACCTTTTATCCAATTAAATGTTATTTGGGAGTGTTTTCAATTTAAATACTGTTCAATGCCATGCTCTAGATACTTTCTATTTGTTCATTTTTGGGGTCCTGGTATTTGTTTTTTGTTTTTTTTCATTTTTTTTTCATTTTAATACCACATATATCTGTTTATCCTTGCAGATGTTAAACATGAATAAATCATTGTGAATAATAAGCACGACCCTTTTTGTTTGCATCTTTGTGAGCATTTTTCTGCCAAAATGGTCGAGGTTGAGTGTGGAGGGTTTACATTTTCATCAAATTTTGAGTCCGGGAACATGGCTCGAGTAGAACAGGTTCCTCTACCACCTAAACCACCACCTCTACCAGGTAATATGGCGGATAATCTTTTACAATGAATTCATTTTGTATTGAAGTAATCTATTACTGTATCTTTAAAACTACTAATATTATTACTATTCAGGTCAAAGCTCTAGTTCCTCAGATGTCCCAGACTATGAATTCAATATTTGGACAAACCCTGATTGTGCTGGTACTGAGTTTGAGAATTCTAATCGCTCATGGTTCTATTTTGGGATTAGAGGTGAGCTGCTTTGCTTCTGCGAGTGACTGCCAACATTGCTTGAGTGCCACACATAGTGGCCTTCGTATGATGAAGGCTAATCAATGGCAGAGTGCCATATACAGCTTTCTCAAGGTTTATTTATCAATTGACTTTGATGCAGTTTACTTCAATGAGTTGTATTTTTCTTGCAGGAGGAACTCCCTTTGCATTGGTAAAGTTAAATTTGGTGAACTTAAATCGTCAAGTTAAAATGTACTCTCAAGGCATGGCTCCAGTATACAGAATTCTCCCTGGTAGAGGTCTGTGGGATCGTATCCGAGAGAAACCCACCTACACGGTCAGAAGAATTAGATTTTTTTTTTTAATTTTTTTTTCTAATGTTACCATGTTAAGTTTTTATAAGTATAAGTATATTTAACACTTTAAATCATTTTCCAGATTGAAGACAGTGTGTTCACACTCAGCTTTCGGTACCGCACCTTAGAAAACATCAAGGCAACTACTTACTTTGCTTTCACATTCCCTTACTCATACCAGGATTTACTGTCATCGCTTCGTGGCTTTGACAAACGTTTCAAAAACTGCCTTCAACCTGAAAAATATTTTCCTGGTCAGGGATTTGGTAAGTATCACAAGGTAACTGCATATCTTGATATACATCTGTAGAAAGTTCTTCATGGATTTTATTTCTATCCAGTTTCCAACCCTGATGACATATATTATCATAGAGAAGTAGCTTCATTCTCATTGGATGGACGTCGGTTGGATCTTTTAACAATAACTTCACACCATGGAATCACCCCTTACAGAGAACCTAGACTGAAGAACTTGTTTCCTGATCTTGAAACTCCTAGACCATACATATTTTCTGGCAAAAAGGTAATTTTTTGGTAAACTATTAAAGCTAATTGTTTTACTTCTGTGGGTCCAAACTGGACTTTTTCTAAATGTGTCTTTTATTTCTTTAATTAAGGTCATATTTGTAAGTGCACGCGTTCATCCAGGAGAGGTACCCTCTAGTTATGTGTTGAATGGACTTCTGGAATCACTTCTAAATCGAGATGATTTGACATCAATTTTATTACGTCGAATGTATGTCTTCAAAGTAATACCCATGTTAAACCCAGACGGTGTTGCTCGTGGACATTTCCGAACAGATACTAGAGGGGTCAACTTAAATAGAGTTTACCTCAATCCATCACTTGTATACCATCCAACAATATATGCTGCTCGCGCCATTATTAGATATGCTCATTTTGGCCAAGAAGTTAATGATGTAAGTCTCTCTTGGTGACATGTGTGTATTCATTTTTAAACCACTATTACCATACATATTGTCTTTCTTCCAGGATGCTTCTATTGAACATGAGCCAGTGGAACAGGCACCAGAACTGCCAAGTCATCCGGGAACCCTTGATACAGCTTCTGTGATAGAAAACAGTGATACAGTTTGTCAAGATATCCAACAAGGACTTTTATCTACCTGTAATCCACCTTCAAACTTGCAAAATTTTCTGCAACCGCTTTCTTGCTCTCTCCAAGCCTGTGAACCAACAAATGTGATTGACACTCCAATAATTATGGATAAAGATGTAAACATGCACTGTGAGCCAGCACAAGCTGAAGAAGATTTGCAGAATTCTGAAGACAATAACACCTCGCAAGGCAGTTCTGATCCTATAGAAATGGATGTGGAGAAAGAGAAAATTGAGAAAACAAAGAAGGAAATTTCAGATGTTTTGAAGGATTCATTTTGCGCTGGATTTCCTTCTGCTACTCATGGGGTTGAATCTCTAGATGAACATCAATTTGTTACTTCTCCAGAGCCTGCAGGTGACACAGAAGTGGGTGCTGAAATTGAGATTAAAAATCAAATTGCAGAGAACATAGAGGTTACTGCTTTGAAAAAAGGAGCAAATAACATTGTCTCGTGTGATGAAAATATGGGTCCAGAAGAAGTAAGACGACGGAAAGAAATGAAAAGGAAACCAGGATCCTCTGAAGCTTCCAAATCCATTCGAATTTTTACGCGTCCAGTAAGTCGTAATGAAGATGATGGAAAGAATGATGAAATCTCCTCTTGCCATGGCAACAATATTGGTGCTTGTGTAAATGGTGCAAAACCTACTCTAGATCCCTCAAAATCGGGTCTATTCCTGTACATGGATATGCACGGTCATGCCTCCAAGAAAGGTATGTCACACTATTTCAATTATTGTAAAGCATTTAGAATTTCCTGATCATGCATCAAAAAATTATGTATTACTATTGGTTTGAAAGAAATATCCAAGCTTTGGATGTAATTTATTGCGCTTCCTTTCTAATATAGGAATCTTTATGTATGGAAATCATTTTGATGATCTTGAACAACTTGTGGAATGTATGTTGCTGCCCAAATTAATGTCCATCAATTCGCAGAATTTCCACTTTACCGCATGCAACTTTACAGAAAGAAACATGTATCTTAGGTACGTGAATATTTATTTTATCTCTTACTGCACTTAAAGGTTTTAACTATAATTTTATTACTTTCATATATAGGGACCGGCGGGATGGCACTAGCCGTGAAGGTTGTGGCCGTGTTTCGGTTATGAAGCTGACAGGCCTCGTACGCAGCTACACTCTGGAGTGCAACTACAATACAGGTCGCATGGTGAACCTATTGCCACCTTGTGTTCGAGACTCAGGGCGAATGTCTGTGAATCCAGCTTATGCAGTCCCTCCTAAGTACACTCCCCTCGTTTTTGAGGAAGTAAGTAATCCTCTTATTGCCTCAATATGTCTGATCTAGATCAAGCACAAATCTTACAATTTGTTAAATATCAAAAATTTCAGGTGGGCCGTGCTCTTGGAGTGTCCGTATTGGATCTTACAAGTTCCAATCCTTGCAGCCGGATTCCCAATTCCGAGTATCGAAGTGTCAATGGCATACGTGATTGGTTAAGAAGTAACTGTCTATCAGATAGTCAGTTGTGGACTCGTATGCTCCACCGCCCAACTCGACCACAGGTATTGAAGAAAACTCTTCTAACTGAGAACTCCACCCCTGATCCTCTTGACAAACCTGAGAATAATCACTCCCATTTTCCCGATTATACTACTGTTCCTACAACAATTGAGGCATTAGATAATTCTTTCAAAGACAAAAGCATATTTGACAACACTAATTTAGATTTTGCAGAGTATGTTTTGGAGACTGTAGAAAAAATTGTTACTTCATCGTCAGCAAAGTCTCTAGATACATTGAGTGGGGCTGAAAATGAAGACAGGTGGTATGATCGAAAAAAGGCTCTTCAGTATGAGCAAGAACTTGAACTGGAACGCTTGAAAATATTTGAGAGGTGCAAATTCATTTTGTCAAGTGAAAAAGAGAGGGCATATAAAGCTGTTTTCGAGAACAATGGTACAGATGATACAGACTTAAAAAATTGTGATGCTCAAAAACATGCAGAATTTAAAGAAGCGCTAGAGGAAGAATTAGCTGCTAAGCGGGAGAAAGTGAAGAAGATTCGTGAACATGACAGATTTGTCCATGAAAGATTTGGAAAAACCTTTGAGACAAAACAATTGCAAAGGGCAAGGAATAGTTTTCCATCTGAAGTATGTGATTTTAAAGAAGGGCACATATTTGGTGACCCATTTGAACCTATTTCTGTAGAAAAGGAAAATCAGTTTGAAGGCTTATCTCATCCCTTAAAAAGCCCTGATAATGTTCAGTGTTCTGAGATGTTTGAACCCTCCGCTGCAAGTAAGGACATGAAAACACCCAGTCAGAATTCATTAAATTCATGTCCTTTAGAAAATATTGACTTTTGTGGAACATCTAATCCTGGTCAATCTTGTGATGGGGTTTCACAAGAACTATGTGCAGCAGGTAGTGTGGGATTCACCAAACCAGTATTTTTGAAAAAAGGCTCTGAAGAAGCAAAACTGAATGTCATCAAATTCAAATACGCCAGTTCCCGTTGGAAAAGGAGAGGTGAACGATTTAGATTGAAAGATGCAACAAAGTCTAAAGTTCCCCAAGAAACTGATGACTCAGGCATGAGAAGGAATGAATCTGGTAAAAAAGAATCTGTTGGAAATAGCTTGAGAAGAAAATCCTTGTACACCAAACATGACAAAAAGGATATTAAAACTAAAGAAGAGACAAAGAAGGATAGTAAGTTCACCGAAATGAACAATAATCGTTTGAAGTCTTGTGGAGCAATCAGTAAAGATAGGCATAGCAACTCGAATTCTCACAATACTTCAACAGAAAAGAGAGTGCTTGTGAAAGAAAATGTTATGCTACTTAGCTTAAACCCTGTACCCCCAGTGCTTGATAATGTTGTGCATCCAATGAGCAAGATACTGCATTATGGAAACCAAACTGATTTAGATATTGGAGAAGTCATGTTACGTGAAATGAAAAGAGCTAATTGCCAGGGTGCAAATCAAATGATCTGTAAAGATGAAATCCTCCCTGTTCTGCAATCAGTTGACTATGAAACCTAAAGCCCTACCATGTTAAGTTAAAAATGGACAAAACAAAATATTATCATATGAAGAAACGTACAGTCATTTATTTCCCACTAATATTTTGCAATTGATTATCGTAGTTCTAATAAAGTAAGCTGCCTCATCAAAATGTACCCTAAAGTCCTTTCCTATCCTTCCCCTCCTTCCCCCCTTTTTTTAAAAAAGCAAAACAAAATGTAGTTAATGTTGTTGATTTCTTTTGTTACAAACCAGAACATGCATCTTGTGTTAACAGGTATCCCAGTCTTCTAGTTCCCAGATGGTTGCTGGCTCTTCTGGACAGAAACCAATCCATCTCACTAAATCAGTTTTACTGGCAAGGATTTCAACTGAACTGAAATCTCTTGGAGAAGAATATGCTAGGAAGGAACAACTGAGAATCCAGAAAACATCCTCTTGTAGCCAACTTGATAGTATGGAGGGAGTAAGCATACCTCCACCAAAAGAAAATATTGGGCCTGGTCAGTGCAGCTCTCGCTCGAGACGTATTGAGGGAACATCATTACAGGCTAAAGCCTCCACTAGTGGCGTTCTGCAACAACGTGCCAAGACGTTATCGGTCGTAAACCTTGCTACTACATCAAGGAAGAAACAGAAATCATCAGCTACTGGTAGTGGAGGACCTCTTCGCCCTGTACCAAAATCTAAGGGATTCCGCCGGTCCAAAACACAGGAGTCTGCTACTCAGAATTCTTCTGCCAGCGGTGATAGTTGTTTCAACGATGAGGGCAATGCAGAGACGGAAGCCAAGAATCAGACAAGTTTGGAGTTATGTGCAACCCCCAAAAGATTGAAAGTTTCCAATAAAGGTATGTCGGGCAAACTTCGTCGCAAACCAGCAGTCTGGACAGTAAAATCTATGGAGACAGAGGACAAAATTGAATCTCATTCTGAGGCACCTCCGTTATTGTGGGCTTCAAACCGAAACCCAGCACCCCCTGTAGCTTGCAAGAAAGCTGCTATGACTAGCAAAATTGAAAAATCTAGAGTTGAAGTGTCTAAAATTAGGTCAGGAGTGTTTTCAAAAGTAAAATCTTTCAAAAAGTTATCCCAACCAGATTCTTCGGTCATAGGAGAAAATAGTCAAATTAAATTAGATGAACCATCCGTGTTTGTTAAACTTGTGGATAGACTTCCTGGGACCAAAGTAACAAAACTAACTCCCACTGAAACTTTTAAAAACAATTCAGGTCCTACTGTAAGTAAAGACTGGCCTCAGTGCAAAAACTCCTCTCGTAACCTGTTGATTAAAGCTGGAAAAGTTGACTTATCTTTGCCGGGTCCGTCTTCAGGTGAGCAGAGTGGGTTTGAAGGAAACCAGTTTGCCGGTGCTGGGACAAGCTCCAGAGTGGAACAAAAGCTGAAGTCAAGTGTCCTACGGTCCCTGGAAAAAGGTGCAAAATCACGGCTTCTTTGTCCAGTCCGTCGACGAAGTAATGACGGTAAGAAAACAAGAAAGAATGTAGATAGAAAACCTTCAGGCACAGAGAATAGCTTGACATCAGTTTGCACTCTGAGGAACGATGCTGCAAGTGATGATAACTGTGCCAATTAATAACAGTTTAAAAAAAGAAAGAAAAACACTGTTGTTACTTTTATTACTCTTCTTCTTGTCACTTTAATCAATTCCTATATGGTTCCTGTAAGTACATGAAGGAGGACTTGTTAAGTCTAATGTTATCTTTATTTTTTTCA